GAGGTGGCGAGGAGGTCAGACAGGTTGTTGTTGATCCTGACTCTCTGTGTACGGTGTGTGAGGAAGTCTAGGATCCAGAGGATGAGTTGGTTGTTCAAGGAGAAGTTCTGCTTGAGCCTCTGTGCAAGGATGTGAGGCTGCAGGGTGTTGAAGGCAGAGGAGAAGTCAGCAAACAGAAGCCTGGCCAGGGTGTTGGGGAATTCCAGATGTTTGTGGATGGTGTCGATGATGAAGGCTTTGGCATCGTTGACACCTTTGCCTGCCTGGTATGCAAATTGGAGGGGGTCGAGGCGTGAGCTGGTCTTTGTGAGGATGTGCTGCTTGACAATCCTCTCCATGGCTTTCATCACGTGGGAGGTGAGGGCCACAGGGCGGAGGTCGTTCAGGGTCTTGGGGTTATTGTTCTTGGGAATGGGGGTAATGGTGGAGTGCTTCCACAGTTTAGGGACGGTGGCGGTGTTCATGGAGGACTGGAATAAGAGCTGGAAGACGCTCCCGAGCTGGTCAGCGCAGTACTTGAGGACCCGGCCACTGACGTTGTCGGCTCCTGGTGCACTGTTGATCTTGGTCCTCTTGAGGGCCCTCACAACGTCCTCAGTGTGGAATGTGATTGTGGAGTTGCCGGGCTGGAGGTGGGACCTGATGTTGGTGAGCTGCGTGGAGTTATCAGTCTCGAACCTGGTGTAGAAGGAGTTGAGGTCATTGGCGAGGGAGGCTGGGCTGCTCCCAGGGATGACGGTGGGGGCGGTGCTGGTGATGGTGTTCACAGCTGCCATTTTCTTCAGGCCCTGCCAGGCTGCACGGAGGTTACCGCCATTAAGTTTCTCCTCCACCTTGCGCTTGTATTGCAGCTTGGCGATCTTGATGGCTCTCTTGACCTCCCTGTTGATCTCCTTTTTCTCGTCCTCGGTGCCCGAGAAGAAGATGCGCTTCTTCCTGTTGATGATCTCCTTCAGCTCCTTGGTGATCCAGGGTTTGTTGTTGGGGAAGATGGTGACAGTCTTGGAGGGGATGATGGTTTCCTCACAGAAGCGGATGTATGAGGAGACTATATCCACCTGGACATTGATGTCGTCGGAGGTTGAGAGAAGGTTGCACCAATCCGTGGACTCTAGGCACCCCTGGAGGGTGGTGATGCTCCCCTGCGTCCACTGTTTGATGGTTTTGGTTACCTTCTCAACTCTCCTTATGGCCGGTCGGTAGGCAGGGAGGAGCAGGATGGTGTGGTGATCAGCAGAGCCGAGGGGGGGGAGGATGGCGGGCTTGTATGCATCAGGAATGGAGCCGTAGCACTTGTCCAGCGTTTTCCCCTGGCGGGTGGTGCATGTGATGTACTGGTTGAAGCCTTTGAGGGATTTCTCTGGGTTGCAATGGTTGAAATCTCCCATGATGAATTTGGGAGAGTCGGGGGAAAGGTGCTCCAGTCTGTTGAGGGTGCATCTGATGTGTTCGGTCGCCGTGGTGGGCTTGGCTCTGGGGTGGATGTAAACGATGATGAAGAAGAGTTGGGGAAATTCTCTGGGCAGGTAGAAAGGACGGCAGGACACAGCGAGGAGCTCGATGTCTGGGGTGCACAGTTTCTCCCTCACGTGGACAGTAGAGCACCAGCGAGTGTTGAAATAGAGGCACACGCCACCGCCATGTTGTTTACCGGTGGCGTCTCCGTCACGGTCCAGCCTGATGGGAGACCCGAATCCATCGATGTGCATGGCTCTGTCGGTGTCATCCTTTCTGAGCCAGGTCTCAGTGAACGCTAGGATGCAAGCGCGCCTGTATTGGTAGCAGCTGTTCACCTTAAGCTGGAGCTCGTCAGTCTTGTTCCGTAGCGAGCGGACATTAGCGAGAATGATCGCTGGTAGTGCACGCTGTTTCCAGCCCTCGCGCTGCAGCCTTGCCCGGAGTCCTCCCTTTTTGTTTTTGCTCCGTCTGTTTTTTTTCCTCTGGGTCCTAATGCACGCCGGGTCCAAATGACCGCCGAGTTCGGTTGCGCACTGTGGACGCACATCGCGTCGGGGAGCCCGACGATGAGAGGGGGGACCGGCAGCGGGACGTCTCTGAGAAGCAGCAGCTGTTCCCTCGTGTAGGTGGTCATATTTGGTGTAAGTCTTAAGTTGAGTTGAGCCAAAAATATGGTGGAGGTGCAGTGTTGATGTCGTTAGCACCGGCTAGGAGCACTCGCCATGAGCACCGGGCTAGCTGAAGGTGCTAGCTGTAGCACTCGCTCGCTGTTAGCACCGGGGCTAACGAATGAATGAAAAAAGATAATCGAAGGGGGAAAAGTGCGGGATTAATAGCTCGAACAGCCGCGCTAAAGTAACGCGGGCCTGCGGAGCTCGGAAAAGCACGGAGTGTAGGTGAGAAATGTGGAAAAAAAGCAAGAAAAGTAAGAAAAACCGCTCCGGACGTAGACCGGTCGACCACAGCGCAGCGACCCGGAACCGGAAGCATCAGTGGGTCCACCGCTCCTGGATTCTGGACCTGTCCCCCTTCTAGGATTTCCACTCAGCTCATCCGGCAAAGCCATGAAGTCCACCAGGAGGTGTCCATTGAATGGGGGGTACTGTCATGTTCTGCTCTGCTTTGTTTTTGTTTTTCAGCACCAGCTGGAGTGTTGGGGGTGACCCTTCAGCAGTTCATCTGTGTCTTGTCTCCCAATTAAGCGCCTACGTATTTAAGGACTGCCAAGACTGTGTCTCTTTGTCAGATTATCGACCTTGTTCGCTGTTCATGCCCATGTGCTATTTTCGAGACCTCATGTTCTTGCTCATAGTCACTTTTGTCTGGATATATTTTGTTTTGTAAGTGTCTTTTTTGTCAAGTCATTTTTTACTAGTTTTACGTTCGTGTGTTTGGACTCTTGTCATTTTGTCTTGTGGATTTTCAGTAACTAATATTACCTTGGCGGTTGCAAGCTCTTTTTATTCTCCGTCGGCTTTCTTGGCTGTTGGTCGCCAGCGATTTCCGTTTCGACTTTGTGGATCATTCGTTTTTCCTAAAATAAAGATTTTTGTATCACCATTATCTGAGTCTGAATTTTTGGGATCCACTACCCACCTGGTCTTTGTTCGGTCCTTGTCAATGCTAAAGGGAGCTTTCACAACCGCTGCAGCTGTTAACAAAGTGCTTTACAGAACATTTAAAATACTATATCCAAGAAATCTGAATGCTGATCCATATATAAGGCCCATCAGATTATAAGACACAATGTCGGCTTTTGAGAAAATTGAATGCTTTTAGGTGCGCCTAATAGTGCAGAAAATACGGTATATGACACAAAGCTGCATTTGTGGGACACGTAAGGAAAATGTATCTAATCTAAGCAGTCTATGTTACCATAAGATGCATGTCTGTATGTGTGTGCTGTGTATTCTGGAAGCTAAATATTAGATGGCCATTTATACTTTTGTGTTGACTCACTGTTTTAGTTCCAGGTTAACTTGGTGGCTCAATTGTCATTTGATATACTCACCCAATTTTGACATACAGTTCTGCACCAGTCCTAATCCAGCTGCTAAGCACCATCTGAGGCCACATAGCAGGATGGCCAACACAACTGCCACCACAGCAAGGTCCCACCACTGAGCAGAGCTGGGCAACTAGGCAAGAAGGGGCCAGCACACTTCGGTGCTGCAGCCACAGGCACCTGGTGAGGAACGGGCGCTGGGGCCAACTGGAAGATGAGCGGCCAATGGGAACGGGTCCCAAACAGGCTGCCGTGCACCCGTGCCGTGGCTTCGGAGGCGACTAGTGCGCAACAACATTTTTTATTGGTTCTTCTTTGTTTGGGCTTCTTCCACACGGCGAACTAGCCATCAAATGATCCCGGGAGGACCAGAATGTTAGGACTGGTCACACTTGCTTCTTGGTTATTGATGCCAAACCCTAAACTCAACGTATCCAGCTGTCAAACTCCTGAAGTTTGCAGATGACACCACAGTCAGGTAACTCACAACAGTGATGAGTCTGCATATAGACAGGAAGTGGAGAGGATGGTAGTCTGGTGCAGAACAACTGGGAGCTGAACACACTCAATACTGTAGCAATGATCATCCACTTCAGGAAGCTAACTTCGCCACAACTGTACTAGCCCAGCAGAGAATGTACTTCCTGCACCTGCTGAGGAAGCCCAGGCATGCGACAGGAGCTGTTGAGGCAGTTCTAAACAGCAGTCATTGAGTCAGTCCTGTGTTAATTCATCACAATCTGGTTTGTTACCACCTCAAAGAAGGAGCACAATCTGACCACAACAGACAGTTATGACTCCAGAGAAGATTACTGATACCCATCAACCCAGTGCTGTGTTCATTCATCACGGTCTGGTTTGGTGATACCTCAAAGAAGTAACAAAATCTGACCACAATGGACAGTGATGGACTCCAGAGAAGATCACTGTTACACACCTACACATTCTTGAGGACTTTCACGTTGTAAGAATCAAAACAAGGGCAGGCAAAAATCTTTATGCTGGTCACCACTTCTGAATCCTTCCCACAAATACAGATGGCGCTATCAAACGAACTATGCACACTAAAACCAGCAGAATAAATCTTCAACCGACCAATCACGGCTGACCTGTTTTCTGAAGCTGAGCCATGATTGGTCATGACCTGAGCCATGAGCAACTGTGATGTCATTTTTAGTCGACAGCAAGTGGCAAGATGGACAAAAACGGGTGGATTTTACTCGTTAACTCTAACACTCAACTCAACTGTCACGCAATATTAATCAGAATGTCATGTTTAGACTAGTGAGGCTGCATAGAACATATGCTTGTCAAGAACATTTTGGGGTTGCTTCAGTCTTTTCACACGTTTTCAACACTTACCATATTTAATGTATTTGTAAACACATTGTGAAAATTACATGGTCTTTTGTATTAAAATAAGCAAAATGTACATTCTTCATGATATGCACCCACCCGTCATTGTCATTTGGGAATGATGAGCCAGTTTGCTTCCGGATCACGATACCAAGGAGCTCTTCACAGTTCCAGAGATTGATTGTTTCAAAGCACCGTCCAAGACTTACTATTTTTTACTTGTCTGATTTAAAATTTTAAAACATCAATCGATCCATTTCAATAGCATTGTCCTCATTAAGGTTGTGAGTGAGCTGGAGTCGATCCCAGTCGAATTTGAGGTGAGAAGCAGGGTGTAGTCTAGACTGGTAGCCAGCTCATTGCAAGACATATAAATAAATAACCATTCAAAGGTCTTCCACAATGCTGACATACATTTTCGGAGAAAAATGGAAAAGGAAAAACTACTGGAAGTGCCTGAAGACAATCCACGCAAGCACAGGAAGAAAATACAAACACCGCACAGTAGGGCCAAAATTCTAATTCAGAACCTTATGGTTATGAGCAGTTGTGTGACCCAAGACATGTTGTGCTGCCCCTACCTAAAACATTATCAATCATTTCTAAAGGTTTACTCGAAAATAGATTCAGAACTGCTTCGCCAAAAGGCCAACCGAAGTAGATGGAGTACCTCACTTATTCAACTACACTATTGTCACTCAGATTAGTTGTTGCATTTTTATTTGTCTTTTCCAAGAGAAGAGCCAAGTGACAAACAACATGACAGGTTGCAGACAAGTTGTTTCTTCTCATACCTGTGTACTCCAAATGGAAGCCAGCAGCCGAGACACTGATGTCAGACTGAAAGGTCAGGTAGAGATTGTTTGATGTGCTGTTCAGTAGTTGAGGAATCGTCGTGCCTGTATTATGGAGGATAAAGTTTAAGTTTCAGCATTCCATATTTCCATTCCCTATTTAGAAAGACCAAAACCATATGGACACTTGTTACTCATGCTGCAAGGGAAAAACAACCGTTAACTGATTTTACAGAGTCTTCAACTTTCAACATGAAAAGGAAGAAAAGGTGACTTTTCTTTCCCTTCTTTATATTTATTAATTTACAGTCATACCTTGGTTTTTGACCATAACCCATTCCAGAAGGCTGTTCGAAAACCGATTTGTTCGAAAACCGAAACCATGTTTCCTATTATAATCAAAGTAATAAATTTCAATCCGTTCCAAGTCTAGAAAACAACTTTTTTTAAAGCATTTTTTAAAACTATTTTACATCATAAACTGTATACAGATGTAATAAGAGAGCAGGTAATATGTAAAATACTGTACAAACATTTTATATGTTTTATTTTTACCAATTTTAAAATAAACATTAACATTGTAACATAAACATTCAAGTAACATCTCTCTCTCTCTCATCGTGGCAATTGTAGATTACATTATTTTACACCTTGAACTAATAAACCCTAAAGTAATGGCTGTAACTATGGACTCTCTCTCTGCAACCCTACGCTACGGTACGAGGTATCATCCCTCCATCCATTTTCTGAACCGCTTTATCCACACAAGTCCAGTCTCGTCCATAGTAAAAGTTTGCTGGGGAAGATAGTCCTTTGGCCTTGATGAGATTTTCAAACTCAACTTTTAGCTTTTCAGCAGCTTCCTTGTCTGAACTGGCTGCCTCCCCATGACGAATCACTTCTTTTCCGAAACTTTTCAAACCATCCTCTGCTTGCTTTAATATCAAACTCTTCAGGAGCAATGCTAGGATCCTTTTTCATCAAATCTCCATACAATTGTCTTGGTTTGCCACAAATCGTATCTTGGCTAAGACTTTCCCCTGCTCGCTGTTTCTCATTTATGAAAATAAGCAACAGTTTCTCCACTTCCTCTAATATTTGTGATCTTTGTTTGCTAAACACACGAGATCTTTTAGCCACATCAGTGACTTTAAGATGGGTCTTTCTTTTTTAGGATGCGGCTCATCGTCGATTTCGGCAAGCCAAACTCCTTTGCCAACACAGACACACGTACACCTGATTCATATTTGGCTATCAAATCTTTGTTAAATGCAATAGTTTTGCGCATTATTTTCCTCTTTTTTTCACCATCTTTACGACTACCACTTGCTTTCTCTGGTGCCATGATTAGGGGCTGATACACAATACAGAAATAACAGTCCGATTTGTGTAGATGTTAACAAACACGATGCTTATTAAAAAAAAAAAATCTTTGTTGAACACGTCTGCTCACATTGGAGACTCTTTTTTTTTTTTTTCAATCTTTATTGAACAAGTCTGCTCACAATGGAACGCTCCCTGAGGAAACGTCAATTCCTCATGTAAGGAAGGTGAGAGGAGTTGAGTGCCGTATTCAAGTACGCTCAATTTGGTCGAGAACCGATTTCCGGTCGTAATCCGAGGCATAAAAAACTCGAAATTTTTGGTCGAAAATCTATTTGGTCGAGAACAGAGACGTTCGAAAACCGAGGTTTGACTGTATTCATTTTTTGGGGGGTGGTGGTGATGGTATTGGTGGTGTACAAACAAACACAATATAAACTATGTTGGAAATAGAATGGGTCCATTCTTAATTTCAACAGTGTATGTCAGTATTTGGTTGAAAAAAAGTCTAATGTGGGAGAACTTCCATTTTGAAAGGCGCAGATGGAAACTAAAGATAATATTAAGCATGAAAGTACACAACTTTATATTTCTCTGATGACCAACTGTTCAAAATGTTTTTGCCGGATCAAATCCCATTACAATGAGAGCAATGACATTACAATTACAATAACAATGAGAGCAATTAGATCTGCAGCAACAGAGCTCACCCTTAAAAAATATATTTACCCATTGATTAATTTAATTCTGATAAACAGTAACGGTGAAAATCATTTTCACTTTTGCAATTAAAAGCCGATTCCCTAACTTCAGACACCGGCCTGTGTTCTTCCATTAGAACTTGAGCCAAGAGCACCTGTCATGTTTCTGTTTGTTTTTATTTCAGTCCTTGCGGAAGTGGAAGTTAAAGGCGTTCCCTCCAGCACAGCACCTGTCACACATTAGAATCGGTGGACATCAATGCTGGCAGTCACCTGTTGGATTATTCGCCTTGCTCACGCCACAAATTCCAAGTGTTAGAATTTTGTACACGCTCTTGGTCACGTTCACAGTTCATGGTTTGTTCATCTTTGTACTTTTTGATCCCGCGTGTAAGTATCATTTATGTTTTATTATTGTTCATGCTGTTTTCGTTCGTATAATTGGATTCATTGCAAGTGATTTTCCGTTTATTTCTTACCTTGCCGGCTGCAAGAGATTTATGTTATTTTGTTTATCCTGTCTTTCTTTTGCCAGCGGCTTTTGTTGTACTTTGTCGGTCTTGCATTTTTCTGTAAGTACATTTTTTTTTTTCATCCATGTCTGCATCTGTGGGATCCCCTCCTTATCAGTTTGCACCCAAACCGGACAACACCATTGCCATTAGCAGGAGCTACAGAGAAATACTACAATTCCACACTGGGGACAGAGAATTCTTTAAGAGGTTCTTTAAAGATGTGCGATAATTTTGTCGGGGACTACGTTCTTTTTTGTTAATTGATTGTTTTACACAGTGCGCTCAAAGAGCACATGAAATGTTATCTGCTCCAACAGCATATTTGTGCTACCTCCAGGAACTTGTGGGCTCTGACTTGCAATTCCACATGCCATATAACATTCACTTGAATTTATTTTACCTGAGTAGCTACCAAGCCTTGGAGAATTGCCATCGATTCCATCAAAAAAATCCAGAGAATCCCAATTGTGCTCTGTTGCAAAGGTCACAACTTGAATCTAGAAGAGGTGCAAATGGTACAGGCATAACGACTATTCATAAGAGAAGGAAGGCCTTGCTTCTTAATCCAAAACACAGTGTCAAATGAATATCAAATAGGGGAAGGGGGTCTTACTTGGATGCCAGCTCCCTCTGGAACAGTTATTTTCCAGGCACAGTTCAGGTAGTTGGCATATGGGTCTGGGTATCCTGGAGAGAGAATAGTGCCTCTGCGGCCCGTCAGCACCCCTCCACAGGGAACTGAAAACAGTGAGACAGAAAGTGACAGAGACATAATTGTTGGAAGGAGG